GTCAGAGAGCAGAGAGGAAGAAAACAAGCATGTAACCCTAGTAGGGGAAATGATTCGAGTTTGCTAATATTTCTTTAAGAGGGGCGTGGAAGACTGCTAGCCAGGTGCCCTTGAACTTAAGAGTTGACCAAAAGGGCACTATAGGTTTGGGTTTCCCCATCCCTGCTCTGAAAATGTGGAGGGATTTTGCTTGGTTGTTACCTTTGCACCTGTCCTTATTTACATGCAAAATCAATTGCTTCACTTGGTCTTTCCGAAGTACAGGGTGTGGGCAGAATCTTATCTGAAGCCGTGTCCTGTTTGGACAAGTTGGACTGGCCCTGGCAGCTCTCCATGGGGTGGAGCAGATGGGTGGAGGCAGGAAAGTAAAATTGGGTGGCTCGCTCTCTCTCGCAGAGAGAGGAGAGGGCGGGTTGTTTGCTCACTGGATCATTACATTTCTGAAACGAAATAACTAACTTCTCTCCTATTTACTAAATACATTGATGCACAATAATATCATTTGTGAGGGGCAAAGATTTGGAAATATTCCGTGGAATTTTTTTTTTTCCCTTTCAAACCAACAATAGAAGACCGAGGTAGGTGAAAATCCTCCGGTGGTGTGACAGTGGGGGGATGTCCTTCCAGGTAGGAGCCAGCAGTTAGCTCTCCTTGAGGAGCCCCCAACTTAAAACTGTTTACTCACATGTGTGGCCTGCCCCTTGTGTTTTTGGCCAGGACAACTGCCACTAAATGATACTCAAGCCATAGGAACTTTCGAAATTTGAGGAAAGAATTGAAGACAGAAGTCTCTCAGGAAAAGGAAGTTTAGTTACAGGGACGTGGCATGTCTGTGCCTGTGCCTGGCCCTTCTCCTGACTGAAAAACACACAGACACACACACACACCCCAAAGATCCTACAGGGAGTAAAGGGTGGGGAAAGTTAACTTGCTCTCTCTTTTAAAAATCCAAACACTTGGGAGAGAAGAAGGTACTTGCAGGCTTGTTCTCTGTACACCTGGCCAAGGTCAGCCAGGAAACAAAGGTTTGCTTTGAGGGAAGCCGGTAATTAGGGGCGAGGGTCAGGCTGGGATGGGGGAAGATAATGCAGAACCCTTTGAGGATCGGAGGAAAGAAAGAAGGACTTGGAATGGGAACTAAAAAGGGAGATGAGAAGAGAGAATGTCTCAGGCATGCCTTGCTCTAGCCTCAAGAAAGGAGGGGAGAACACTTTGCTTGATACTCTCTCTCTCTCTCCCTTCAACGCCCTCCACCAGCAGCTCATTTGTCCCCTCCCTCAGGAAGCAGTTGTCCTGTGAGCCTCACAGACAGCTGAATGCAGAACCCTGTCACTTCTGGAAGTCATGTAAATGATTCTTAAAGGTTTTAATGTATAATCATACTGTTTTTGCATTTTGACAGAAATCTGACCCTTCCGAAGTCAGAAGTAAAAGAGGGGGAGAGTTGTGAGGGGCGTCCATTTTGTTATTGGAGGCAAATTCAGTTTCATGGGCCCTTCCCAGCAAAATAACATAGCTGCTCCAGTTGTGGAAAGTTGTTTTGGCAGTGATAATATTCTTATATTTTTGTTCCTTGGCACCTCAGGAACTTAGAAGTGTTTTTTGTTGTTGTTGTTTTGCGGTGCTGGAGTTTGAACTCAGGGCCTCACACTTACTAGGCAAGCACTGTACCACTTGAGCCCCTCCACCAGCCTTCTCTCTCTCTTTTAAATGCTGTTTTGTTATCCTGGGATGTCTAGTTGAACTTTACAATGCATTTCTGCTAAGCTAAATAGAACTAAGATGTAAATATGTTTATGATTGGAAAATAGTAAGAAAAACCAGAGGCACACTGAGGCCTCCTCCTCTCTGGGATGCCCACAGAAAGTGATTAACAGAATTCCTCAGCCAGGTTAAAACCCACTAGGTTTAAAAACCCTGAGGTTGGGCTAGTGGAATGGCTCAAGTGGCAAAGAGCGCCTGCTTAGCAAGAGTGTGGCCCTGAGTTCAAACTCCAGTGCCGCCAAAAAAAAGAAAAAAACCTGAAGTTGGCTCTAGGCTCTAATACCTGTTTTAGTGCGCCACCTACTGATTCTACTGAAGATTGCTTCCTGTCGTGACTAGATTTTCCAAGGCATCTGTGGTTTCTTGAGCATTCTTTTAAAATGATAGTCATGTCCCCAGAGCATGGAGCTGCCCAGTAGTAATGGAGGCCATCAGGTTTAGGGGCCCTTATTCTTCCAGTACTTAAGTTACTTTTCAGCTCATGAAAGGCACTTTGGACATCGCAGTTACTTTTTTGATTTTGGAACCTATGAACAAATACCAAACCAATGATAAAAAAAGCAAAAGTCTGATTTATGTTAATGTGTTTGATTCTCTTGCTAAATTTGGTTCCTTTCTACCTTTGTTTCCCTCTCATAAAAAAGGGCTGGTGAAGTGATTCAAGGTATAGGCCTTGAGTTCAAACCCAGTACCACCAAAAAAATAAAATAAATTAAAGGAGACTAGTAATTGAACTGATAAAAGATAACATGTTAATGCGTGATTCATTTCTAAATAGATTCACAAGTCATTGCCTTGGTCATTAGACAAAGTCATTAAAAGCTGTATGAGCTAAAAGGTAGAGTTAGGATTTGAACTCAAAAGAACTTCAATTTATTCTGTGCTGCAATTACTGGTAGTCGACACTGGTAATCCTTTTATGGAGACACTGCCTGGCTCAGAAGCTATTGGAACAGTAGCTAGGATGTAGACTGCTGCTAACTTGTAAGCTGAATTTGAGTTTTATTTAAAGGTGAGAGGATTGACCTTTAAGTATAGGTATGTTAGCAAAAAGGCTAATACCAGATATTGCTCCAGAATTTGAAACCAACAAATCTCAATTTGTGTGGATAATATATACCATATATCCAAAATCATGTGTATATCTGTTAATCTAAACAATTTAGAGGGCCAAAGTTTTTTTATCTTATTGATCATCCTAAAACCTTGTAGTAGGTAAGGCAGGTGTGGTCTGCATTGTCCCTGTGAACATTGTTTCATACAGCTCATGAGGTTATGGTCTGCTCAAGTCTCAAGACCAGGGCTCTTTCCTTATAAATCTGAAACGTGTAAGTGCTTTTATCTAGAAGGAGTTGCCTCAAGATAACTATCTAGTGGCCTAGATGAATCTGTGAGAGTAAACTCAGTTTAAAAGGCTGAGGGGTGTTGGTGGGAGACTGCGTGAGCCAGGGCTGCGCAGTTACCTGACTTTCTGGATGCAAGCAGATCTTACCTTTTTTGTTCATGGTCTGATATGGGGCATGGCCCTCGGTGCAGCTGCTAGGCTGGGACTGGTTAATAATAGATTGCAAGACACAAAAGGGTTTTCATCCTTCATTATGAAACCATCCATTTTTCACTGGCTGTTGGTTTGGTTCTTTCTGGGATATGTATTTGCACGTTATCACAAGACTCAAAATGGGGGAAGCAGAAGGGCCACATGGTGTCACTTCGATGGTAGTGTGTGGAGATAGCTTAGCATAACCCATAGGGCACATGCTCACCGCAGGCTTGCTCTGATGGAGCCATGGGGTTGGGGGGTTGGTACTGAAAAAATACAGCAGGTAATTCAGAACCACCAACTTCTGCAGCTTTTTCAAGTAGAATTCAATCTAGAGCTTGGCCACCCAAGCAAGGTAATCCTTTCCTCGGGCCAAAGCACTAAGCACTTAAACCAAATTTGGCTAGTAAGTACCTGAACCAGGTTTCAGAAGATCTGTGGAGCAGGTGGGCAGTGATCCTGTAACCAGTGAAGTGAAGTGTTCAACGTTGTGCAGATTGGATATTTTGTCTGTAGGGGAACAGTTGGCTTGATATAGATTAGTGTTAGCAGTGGACTAGTATAGAAAAAAAAAATTATGTGATAAAAGGCTGAACAACAGAAGAGAGGACAGAGCAGGATCAAGGTACACATTTCCTTTATATGAGGGTAATTTCCTAATGAGTAGAAACAAGCAATATACTTCATTTGTAAAAAGTGCTTAGAAAACAATAAGCTGGTAGGGGGTCCTCAAGACCCAAATAAGCATTTCTCAAACATGTAAATGGCAAAGAAAGGTGAAAAGAATTTTCAAGATCAATGAAATCAATATATAATAAAAAGTGGTTTGTCATTTTGAGACCAACAGAATGTTTTGAAAGAGCTGAGAGTCTAGCTCAGTGGTAGAGCACTTGCCTCACATACACAAGGCCCTGGGGGCTTGATTCCCAGCAGCACCTCTGCGAAACAAAAAAAGTTTGGGAGATGTATATACTTCTCATCCAAAAACTTCTCCAAAAAATGTATCCGAAAAAATTAAAAAAGGATATTCAGGGGTATACAAACAAGTACAAAGAGGATCATTGCTTTTCTAATAGTGAAAATTTAGAAGCAACCTAAGTATCCAGTGAATGAAAAGAGACACATTAAAGCAGTCTGCTCAGACAGTGGTATGATGGATTTGATGGTGTGCAACCAAACTTACTAAAAAAGAAGCACTTTCACAATAAATTATTGGATGAAATAGGGACAAAGTAATGTATAATGCCATGGACCCACTTCAAAAGGGGAAATGATAAACAGAGATACTAATGATGGTTGATTCTAGGTTTGCTTTCTGCTTATCTCCCCCCAACAACTCCCACCCCCTTTTTCTGTGATGAAATAAGAAAGAAAGGCAAGGGGTTCAACAATCACGTGAGGTGAACTCAGTTGCAAAGCTATCCCAAGCAAGCTCTCAGGCCAGAGGGGGCGTTCCAGAGATGTCAGGGTTTATGTGTTTAAGTTAGAAAAGCCAGTTGGCTTCTGTCTGGTCCTGACTGTGGCATCTGTATTTAATTATATAAAATGGCATCTTTCGTAGGTAAGGAACAATTCCAGCCATTCTGGGGTCAGGGTAGGAGTGGAAAGGAGAGGAAAGAAGAATGATATTTTACTTTGTTAGTTTAAATCTCAAGTGACCTTAGGATTTAGACAGACACCTTGTTTTGTTTTCTAGGCCAAACACCAGAGCACCCTAGAAGGTTTAACGAAAAGAATGCTCATGTTTGACCCAGTCCCTGTCAAGCAAGAGGCCATGGACCCTGTCTCGGTGGTAAGTTTTCCAAAGTTGAACACCTCTCCTTGTTTATTCAATCGATGATGACATTATTGTGTGTTGTGTCATTCCCTAAAGTTACTCATTACTTGTCAGGCATTTGACAGGCAAAGCAGTGTTGCTCAAAGCCCCTGCTAATAAGTGAGTTGCATACCCATCTGGGAACTATGTGTCCCTCAATAAATGGGATCCATGCCCTAAGCTCCCCAAATATGTCAGCCTAGATCTTAGGTCATAGGCAAATCTGGCCATGACAGAAATAAGTTCACAAAAACTCCTCAATCCTTTTGTATGTAAAACTACATTAAGAATAAAGAGATCTGCTTAAAAACCGTTGACAACAGCCATGTGAGGCCGTGACTGTATGAGTGAGAAGAAGCCAGGGAAAGAGAACTTGGCAGTGAGGACAGTCTCATTTCACTTGGAAGAGAGTGGTGGGTGGGAACCTTGTTCATTGTCCTTTTCAACACCTTGGTGTTAAGCTTAGTCCCTCATGTGAGCTAGCCACAAGGTGCTGTTGGGCCACCAGGAAACTGGTAATTAGTCTAGGTGTTTATGAAGGTACAACACAAGTGCATGGAAATGAAACATGAGTGACAAAGAAGTGTCCAGCTTCAAAGCAGGAACGGTTTAGATTTGAGAGGATCTGGTTTAGTGAATACTGATTAACGAGGCAACGCTCCCACTCTGTCTTGCTCTTTTCTTCCACGGGATTGGAAAATATTCACAAGGGGAAAAACTTGGCCTGAGCTGTGTATCTGAAGGCTGGTAATGACACACTTGCAAAATTAGATCATCCTTATGTATTGGCTGTGGAAGTTTCTGCCAGAAATGTTTCTACAAAACACAGAGGTCACTCCAAGGCCCTTGGATCTGAGTTGCCATGAATATTACTAAACCAGTGAAGTATTTACCATTGTCTGTAATGAAGAGTTAAGTCTTTAAGAAAATACATTTACATTCCACCATGCTAACTGCATAACTGCATATCTGCATATGGCAATAGCTGACCATGAAGAATTTTATTAATCAAAAAACTAAATTTCCTTCTGATGTTACTCCATGCTGCCATTCTTCAACCCTTTTCTCTCCAACTATTGCATGATCACCTTGGAGAAAAATTAAGGTAAAAAATTTCCCCCCTAATTATAGCCTTGAAATGCAAATAAGTTTTTAGTACTGGAAGTTATAATTAATTTTATAAATGACACAGAGCCATCAATGATGCATTTTACTCTCAGTCCACTTCCAGTGCTTTTAACCAAGCATGAAACTATGGCTCAACAGCATGAAGACCCCCATTACTAAACTGGTATGAAGTAATTAAATCCAAGGAAATGCACTGAACAGGAAGAAAAGGGAAAGAAAATGAATTGGAAGTGAGTGTTAAACTTGTAATGTAGTTGTAAACTGCATTCACTCATAAAGTGAAAATGATCTCTTTCTTCTTCATGTGCTAATTGTCACACTTAATTAGTTAACTTTTGGTGAAATTAACATCAGTCCTTAGGAGAGGTTTTTTTTTTTTGTACTGGGGTTTGAACTCAAGGCCTTATGCTTGGTAGACAGGTGCTCTGTCAACTTTAGCCACTCCACCAGCCCTGTTTTGTGTTGGTATTTTCAGGTAGAGTCTTGAACTATTTGCTAAGGCTGGTTTCGAACCATGACCCTCCTGATCTCTGCCTCCTGAGTAACTAGGATTACAGGCACCCAGCTGGAAAGGAGTTTCTCTTAATTCACTGAAAGCTCCGTTAACTGAAACATTTGAAGAATGGGACTTATAATTGTTTTACTTTAAAAAGATTAAGAGCTTTGGTTTCCATTCTTAACTCTTCAGATTTCGTCTTCCTTATCTCCCTAGGCAGAGTATATTGAATCTAATTCATTCAGTCTTTGACTATTGAACTGTGTATTATAAATATCAAGAAAGGGGTTGGGGATTTACCTCAGTGGAAAAGCGCTTGCCTGGCAACTGCAAGGCCCTGAGTTTGGTCCCCAGCACCGAAAAAAAAATAAAATAAAATAAAATAAGTAATAATAAACATCAAGACAACCTAGTGTTAGCAGACTTGTTCTGTCTGAGCCTGGGGTCTTTGTCTTGCAATTTGGAAGAATGAAAATCACTGACAAGTGAGTGAAAGAGCAGAGGTTTATTAAGCATAGAGGAAAAAGAGAAGAAAAGCCCCCTGTAGGAGGGGTCTCAGAAAGGCTGAGCCAGAGAACTGTCATGGTCTAAGGTTTTTATCCATTTTCTCCAGGTCATTGCTCAATCTCTATGCTAATTAGGTATGTAAAAAGCAGCATTTTGGTTGGCTGTGCCTGCAACATTCTGATTGGTTGTGCCCTAGTCCTCCAGGTGTCCTCATTCTGCTTTTAATTCATTCCACCCTTTCAGGTCACAGGGAGGTCATAATGGAAGTTTCCAGTTTTCCTAGCAATACTGTCTAATTTCAACTAACTGCCTAGCCTACTTGCTCAATAAGATTCTTTTTAAAGATTTTTTTTCTTCTTTTTTTTTTTTTTTGCAGTACTAGCATTTGAACTCAAAGCCTTGACTTGCTAGCTAGGCGCCCTACCACTTGAGGCAGGCCCTCAGCCCTTTTTGCTTTCATTTACTTTTCAAATAGGGTGTCAAGCTTTTGCCCCAGGCTTGGCCTGGGACCCTCCTACCTCCCACATAGCTGGGATTACAGACAGGTGCCACATGCCTAGACTTGTAAGATATTTTTAAAATCATATACACAATTAAAAATATTTTATGGCAACTCCCCCCACTCCCTTTTTAAAAGGAGAGACCTTTTAAAAAGAAGAAACCTTACTTGGCCAGAGAAAATGAGGAAATGTTGTTTTACTTACTAAAATATAAGCTTTCATAGCGTTCTCTGTTCAGCTTGTGCTTTGAGGCTTTGAATGTCCCAGTTAAAATCTGCAAGAATGAGAGACAATTACATGAAATGCACACAGCAAAAAATTGTGTTCACAATTTCTAAAAAGGTTAATAATTAAAGGATTTGATTCAGAAAGTTAGGAAGAAAACAAATTGTAAAAAAAAAAATGGATTAAAAAAAAATTTCTGTAGGAAGATAACTTTTGAAAAAAGCATGCTCCTTTTTTCTTCGTCTTTTAGTGAATCCAGTCATCTACGTACTGCTTACAGTCTGAGAGGTACATAACACCAGTACTGTGCCCTGGAAATGCCTAACGGAAGGCTTCTGTGATTTCTGTGGGCAGTTGGAAAGAGAGCCGTCCACTTTGTTTGCATGGAAGGGCGGGATGTTTGCTGTGCTCAGAGCCCTGCCCTTGGTCTGAGGATTCCTCTCTCACAGTCCCACAGGCTCTCTCTTGTCCTGTTACTGAATAGGTGGAGACTTCCTGTTTCAGTCACCCCACCCACTTTTGCTGCCTTGTAATGGAAAACTCAAGTTTTTACTAAGAAAATAAGATGGATGGAAATAGTTAATTATGTACTTAGAGTACATAATGTATTTTTCTACACCTACCCTGGTACCTTAAAATTCTTACTTTAGTATAAGGTGATAGATAGTCCTACCCTTTGGAAATTATCCAAGTCCTCTGCCTTTTTCCCCCATCGTTTTTTCAAGATTAGAAGAGATATTATCCTTAGGTCACATTGAAGATCTGCTGAGATGTGTTCACTCAGTCACTCATCAAGCGTTTATTGAACATCTTTGGCCCTCACCTCACATTTCAGTGAGAAGCAGCACAGTGAAGGTTTGGGTGTTTTGTTTGTTTGTTTTTTGGGTGGGACCGGGATTTATTTTTTATTTTTTGGTGGCACTGGGGTTTGAACTTATGGCCTTACACTTTTTACCACTTGAGCCACTCCACCAGCCCCACATTGCAGATTTGGACATTCACATCCATCTTACAACGGAAGGAAAGAACTTTCCTTAATAACCCGCCATTTTGGAAAGTAGACCCACTGTCTCCCCTAGAGGGGGTGAGGGGAAGACCCTTGTAGTGTCTTGTCTTTGGGCTGCTCTGTCCAGAACATAGAGCATGGGATGTCCATCCATGGCCAGGACGAGTTTTCAGCTTCACCAACTCTACTTGCCTCTGATTTGGATTTGGGGCCAGTAGGGCTCCTCTGTTTGCCTTGCTTTGTTAGAAGTCGGGAATGGTCTGGAACTGAGGGCAGGTGACTTGCGGGGTTTGCCTGCCCGAGGCACACCCAGTCTGTACTTACTCTGTGCAGAGCTGATGGTTGCCAGGTGTGCTCCACACAAATAATTCAGCTAAATGTGCATTAGAGAAGGTTCTAGAATTTGCCAATGAGCTGGTTGGAAGAGCCACATTTTTCATCCTTTTGTGAGGCAGTTGGATGGAAATAGTTAATTATGTACTCAGACTTGGGTGTCTGTCCAAATGTATTTTTCTACACCTACCCTGGTACCTTAAAATAAACATGCACCCGATACGCTGAAGGTTTGGGGGTGGTCATGTGAGAGCAGTCACACTGCGTGTAATGTGTATAAAACTTAGCTTTATGTGAGTCTTTTTTTTTTTTTTTTTTTTGCAAATCTCAGGTTCTAAATTCCTACTCGTGCCACAGATAGGAAAATCCAGCAATGAAAGTATGTCCTCATTTGCTTCTTCTGTAGCTGCCAATAACTATTGGCCTTAAAATCTAGGTTATAGGGAGGTCTTGGAAGAACGGGCCTGAAAATAAGGGAGAAGCTGCGTCTCGGTGAATAAGTAGTGCTGCCTCCCTCGGTCCCTGGAGAATTACATAAAGCCTGTTAGACCTTAGACCTAGGGGACTCTTTCTCTTCCCTGTAGTTTATTGCTTCCTAAAACCCCCATTGTGCATAATTTTAATGACCTTGTGCTTTCAATAATGCCTATTCTAATATTCAAACTTAAATACATTTAATGCTTGATGTCAGTGTCGCTGAATATTTTGGATCTCTCACTGTGTGTTGTATTATGTTCCTGGTGCTGAAGAAAGGTAGGAGTCATCTTTTCTGCAACTAATCCTCAATACATAGCTCACAGCTGGTGTTAAACACTGATGTATCTTGTACTTCCTAATTTTATTTCCTTTGTGTCTTTGTCTCTATGCAGTATTGGTAGTTAGAATGCTTCCTCTACCCCCATCTATTCGTTTTACTCCCTCTCTCTCTCACTGGAGCTGTGCTGTTCTGCAGGTGGTCTCTGGTACCTTAGGCTACTCCCTCCCTGGTTGCTCAAATCTGCATTTTCTCACGATGTCTGGGTGAATTTGAGTGCCCTGGAAAGTTTGAGAAGCCTTGTTTTGAGTCATAAAGCCTAGTGACATCTATTGAGTAAGAGACGAGAGGGGATCCCTAGGACAACCTGGTGTGTCAAGCATTAAATTAAACTCATTACTTTGAATCCAGTTTTAATTTTAACCTCACAACTGCCCAGAAGATGGGTGTTCAGTACCACCTTGACAAATATGCCTTAGCCTCACAGCACCTGTACTTTTAATACTGAGTAATTTTTTTGGCTTCTTTTATAGAGTTGCTTTTTTAACATAATAAGTTTATTTAAAAAATACAACTTTTTTTCTTAACACATTCCGATAAGTGTATCTGTTTTAAAATAATGCATGTTCCTCATGGGCAAAAGACAGCCAAGCACATAACTACAAGGCTACTATATCAAAACCAAACAGCAGGTGAGGGAAATGCAAAATCTTACCGCCTGGTCCCCTACTCCTCGATACTCTGGTACTCAGTAGGCCTGGAGCAGTGACCAAGCATCTGGAATTCTAAAAAGAGCAGAAGATTCTGATGCATAGTGGATGGAGATTCACCCAGTCTAATGCCAGGGAGGAAAGGCCATGACCCCAGGAGTGACCTCAGGTCAGATCCACTACCACCTGGTAATTATTACAGAGTGGCCACTGGGGAGCCAGGGAGCTTCGAAATTAACAGTGCATTGAGGCTGTTTAATTATAAGGCCCCAATGCTGGGTTGTTTCCTGGTTACAACATGTGTTAAGCATTGCCTCCAAATCATAAAAGTTAGGGCCAAAGACAGTTGCCCTAGGGAGGGCAGCCTTCAGGACATAGGTGTAGAAGGTGACCAGACATCCTGGTTTGCCTGAGTCTGAGGAGTTTTTTGAGATGTGGACTGTCAGTACTAAAACCAGGACAACTCCAGGCCAGCTAGGATGGCTGGCCACCCTAGCTGTGGCTCATTTACCAGCTGAAGCCCTCACAAGGCACTACCATGCAGCCCATTTCTCCTAATTGTACACGAGCCTGTTGTCATCCTGCCAAGACTGAGACGCTGAAGCTAGAGAGCTTTTCCTGTCAGTCAAGAAATTCCATCAGACAAACAGCCAGGCTAGTGAGGCTTGGCTGACTCCTCATGACATAGGCCACAAGTCTTGTGACACATCTGCTCTAGAACCTTGCCAGGTACCAGCCTTCACGGTAGACATGGAAAATCTCCCTGGAATTAAACTTCAGATTTTCCGTGTGACCCGGTATGCAAATACATGCATAAATACATACACAGACGTATGTACACTGTGACACTCAGGTGATGGTGCAAGCCGTGGTATATGTTTTCGTATTGGTTCGTGTTTCATGCAGATCCACTCTCATCTGGCCCTTTACACCTTTCTTTTCCAATAGGCCTACCCATCAAATTACATGGAGTCCATGAAGCCCAACAAGTATGGAGTCATTTACTCCACACCATTACCTGACAAGTTCTTTCAGACCTCCGAAGGCCTGTCCCACGGGATCCAGATGGAGCCGGTGGACCTCACGGTGAATAAGCGGGGTTCGCCACCCTCGGCTGGGAGCTCTCCCTCATCACTGAAGTTCCCGTCCTCACACCGGAGAGCGTCTCCTGGATTGAGCATGTCTTCTAGCCCGTCCATCAAGAAGTTCTCACCCCCTTCCCCGGGCGTGCAGCCCTTCGGAGTGCCACTTTCCATGCCCCCCGTGATGGCAGCTGCCCTCTCACGGCACGGAATCCGGAGCCCGGGCATCCTGCCCGTCATCCAGCCCGTGGTGGTGCAGCCTGTCCCATTTATGTACACCAGCCACCTCCAGCAGCCACTCATGGTGTCCTTGTCGGAAGAGATGGAAAATTCAAATAGTAGCATGCAAGGTAAATTCCACGGGGCTTACCATACTGCACTTCCCAGCCAGTCCCGGTGAGGAAACCCAGGCAAAGCTATTGAGCTGCAAAAGAAACACTCCTGCCCAAGGCCTTTCCTTTTCTTGTTTGTTTTTGCTTTGAAGTGTTGCTACTGGAAGAGAACCCAAGAATCAGGCTGTCCATTAAATGCCCTGAGATAGTTACCTTCACTATGTCCTTATAACTTAGGCTAGTACGAATCGACTTCATATATATATATATTATTTGTGTATGTATATATTTATATATTTACTTATTTATTTGTTTTGTGTGGTGCTGGGTGGAACCCAGAGCCTTGCACATGAGGCAGGCAGTCTACTACCAAACTACATCCCAGCCCTATATTTTTGATTTGTTAAATACCAACACGATTCTGGACATAAGAGACATTTAGCAAATACTTTTGATCATCATGATAACTAATGGCTTTTAAAAGCCAAATTGCTTACCAGCTGGTCGTGGACAGAGGACCATGGGGTTGAAAGAGACGACCAAAATGCATAGGAAGAGTCCTTTCAAGTATTGTGTCTTAGACGTCCAGAACCCTGTGTTTTCTGCTTGCTGGAAAAACAATGGCTAGGAGGAATGAGAAAACCTCACAGAATGGTCCTTGCTGCAATCTTGTGAAAAGCAAATAAATGCATCACTGTTGTAGATAGGAGCTATACAATGAGCTTTTAAAAGCTGAGATTGGTGAATTGTACATAGAGTGACTTTTCTATTTTTATTTTTTAGTACCTGTAATTGAATCGTATGAGAAGCCCATATTACAGAAAAAAATTAAAATAGAACCTGGGATCGAACCACAGAGGACAGAGTATTATCCTGAAGAAATGTCACCCCCTTTAATGAGCTCAGTGTCCCCCCCGCAAGCATTGTTGCAAGAGTAAGTATATGTGGGGTACCAAGTGTTGGCATAGTAGGGTACATCTGGGGACCTGGAATGGAGCAGAACGCCAAAGTGTGATGTGCTGTGATGACTGGGACCATCCTGTAGTGGCAGCCACTGGGCGGTGGCTCAGAACCACTGGTCAAGATGGGCGAATCTCCAAAAGCAATGCACTTCCTGTTTCACGGACAACATTTTGACAGCAGTTACGTCAGCTCCAGTGAATTAGTCACTCCTGGTTTTGCACTTTGCACATAAATCATTTTTTGGCTTTTTCATCCTTCCAGGCTCTACATACAATTCCCACACTTAGATTGACTCTGGTGTTCTAAATATTCCATACATGCTTGGATTATAAAAAGTTTTCCTGTGGACAAATAACCCTCCCAGTTCTCACTTCTAACACAGTGTTGTGTGATACTATGGGACTGTCTTTAATCAAAATCTTTGGGCTAAGCACAGTACTGGCAGCAAAAGGTTGCCAGACAGCCCAGCAAAGGTTAGCACTGAAAGAACTCTTTATCTAGGTCTTTAATCATACCCACCCATTGAGTGGTAGCCCTCCTGTAGAGCTGCCAACAAGTAGGAAGGCTGCACTGCGTCCATCGGCGTGAAGCATGTGCTGGGATAGGATGGGGCCACACATGGGTTGAATAGCGTCGTTCATGGGTTGGCCACTGTAGGTATCCTTGACTTCTCCCAGTGGTTACACTGCAGGCTGGGTGGCAGTAGTGAGAATATGGCTCTTGGATCCCGGCTCTTTGGTCCACCGTGTGTTGGAGCACGGGCCAGATACAATCATACTGATTTCCTCTCTGTCTCATTATCATCGGTGATTACTGTGGTTCAGTGGCCAGCTTCCCACCGTCTTCCTCCCACACCGTCTTTTCTCCAGCTTGAATAAATGAAGTAGCCACCTGTCCGCTCTATTTTCTCCACCTTTCTCCCTTGCACAATTAACTCTGCAGCAGAATGTCACTTCTCTGGTTTTACAAAAGCTGTTTTCTACTGACTTCAAGTATGTTTTGTGCACACCACACTCACAGTAGCTCACGTGTTAATTTCCCACTGTACCAAATGATTGTGGGGTGGGTGGTGTCATGTACTTCCTGATAGCTGAAGAGTTAATCTTCTTACCCACCTGCCATAGCAGGTAGAGAAAGCTTCTCAGAGTTGTGCTTTTGTGCTTTCCCCCCAAAAGAAACTTTTCCTAGTCTTTTTTTTTTTTTAAGTGAAAGTAATAGTAAAGTTTATTAGGAAAGAAATTTAGTATAACAATATAAACGTAAGGAGAATTGGCCTGCTCCCCGTGCAGGAAGTGGGAGTAAAGACTCCTTTTTCTCTGATTACTTGAAACAGGGTCTTGCTATGTAATCCAGGCTGGCCCCAGACTCAGCAGTCCTCCTGCTTCCACCTCTGGAATGCTGGGATTACAGGCATGTATCACCATGTCCAGCTCCGAGTGTTTTTAAAGGGAATTATTTCATCCCCCCATAAACAGGTGTGTGGGGGTCAGAGCAGCGAGAGTGCTGGTGTGCCCAGGCATTAGTAAGGCACGTCTAGTCATGGCCTGCTTCCCGATGAGTTTCTCCCTGCCATCTTCTCCGTAGTTCATGCTCTCAGTTGAAGGGAGAAGCAAAATGACTCAGCAAAGTGGACCCGTTGTGCAGGCTAAATTACATTTGGTGACGAGGGGGTAGCTCTGCCAGGAAACTAGCAGTATGACTTGTAATTGTTCCTGCCCAGGTGGTGAAAAAGATGCTATGAAACTAAATGAAGCTGACTGCCTCCTTAGGGAGGGATGCATTGACTGAAAAAGTGTTAGTCCAAAGTCTCGGTCATTGTGAATCACAACGTAAAACGGGACAGAAGATGAGGTGGAGGCGCCTCCCGTTCTCTGAGTATCACTCAAAAGAAAATGCTTTTTTCTTTCCTGTTTTAAATAATACTCCTTTCGTGACCTCATACTCAGTGGTTTTTAATACTTAATGATATGTGTCTATTTTAATACTGACCTAAGAATGCATTTTGCTCCTCAAAAAAATTCCCACAACTGGGACATGTACGCTTCAAGCAATTCTCTCACAGATGTGATTAAATAATGAGTTGGAATGGGCCCAGTAGCAGCCCACATAGGAAACCAGCTAGCCAGGAAAGAGTCACTTGAAACCAAGCACCCTTGCAGCCGGGCTGCCCCGATAATCTTGCCTTAGGAAACCCTTGCTTCCCAGAGGCAGGCTTTACAGCTTTCAAATCCATTTGCTTGATCCTAGAGCTAGAGTTTAGAATTATTTTTCAGGGCACTCAAAGGTATATCAAATTCCTTCCGTTACATTTTTAATATGTGTAGCTGTGTTTAGAACAAAAAACTTCAGGCACAGATTTCCCTGTCAAGGGAGGTGTGTGTGTGCAGCAAACTTAACACAAGACAATGACCAGGTATCTGGGATTTAATAGCTATTCTAACTTCTGGATTATAATGATCACAAACCACCTTTTGAAAAATGAGTTTGATGATGAAAAAGTGAAATCCCAGGACCCTTATCTCCAATCTCAACGTGAGTCAGCGTCCGGCGCTTTCCAGAGACAGGCCTGCTGCCTATTCTGAGTACTATGACCTTCAGAGGTGGATGTTACTTGAGTGTGAAGCATCCCCAAAAACTCCACATGAAATTAGACAACTGTGAGGTGCAGTGTTCCAAGTGGATGAAGCATTTCTGGACCTTGAACTATTAGCTGTTACCGTTGAAGATTTCCTCATTTTACGGAGAGGAAACAGGCACAGAGGCTGAGTGTACCCCCCTCAGCATCACAGTGGCAGAGCTGGGATTTCAAGTTGAAGCCCACAGCCTTTCAGCACACCTTTCAAATATAAAATACACACCTGAGAAAGCCATCTTAATTACCTTACTGAGAAAATAAGATCTCCAGCCCATAAAATCCAACAGTAATCACCTGGGATAGATACTCTAAACGTGTCCCCTAAACATAATCATGAAATCTCCCTAAAGTTAAAAGTTCAAATAACTTTTTTACTGAAGAATTAAAAATTAATAATTCAGCCTTATAAGAAACTAGATCTGACTATAAGCCTCTGACTTCTCCATTTTTTCTTATATATGTGTGTGTATGTATGTATGTGTGTGTGTGATTAAAGTCTATACACACACTGCTTTATGTTTATTTTTCTTTGTCTCTGAACTTGACTTAGTTTACCCATCTGCATGCCTTCCCTTCCAGGCATCAGGGTAGAAAGGCAGTGATACCCAAAACTGACAGTTGGCTAACAAAAGTGTGAGTAGGCCCCCCTTTCCTGTTTCTAGTCGCTTCTTAGCCGTATCTGAAAAAGTTATTGACAAAGCATTGTTTTCAAATTCTTACCCAGACCAAAAAAAATCATGTTTCATTTCAGAGATTCCCTTTTGATTTTCATGGCTAAATTTTATGTATATATTTATCTCACAAGCCTCACCTTTATCAATTTTGTTTTTCTTCACCAGTCTTTTTCTCTTTCTACACTCGTTGAAAACATTCGTGTATTATTTGGAACATTTTAGGACCCATTGATTCACAATTAAGTCTGAGTTGGAGGCCAACTTGCATACACTTTTGATATATCAAGCAATTTGTCATCAGGAGAGAGAATGACAGATTAGAACTTTCCAATGATGTATGTCAATTAGGAGAAGTCTGGAAACTTCTTTTCCAGTTTTGGCACTCTTCCCAGTTTGTTCCATTTTGTTTTCTCTCTGTCACCTTCTTTCTGAGAAAGAGACAGGTCACAGTAATGGTGCTCAGCAGGATTTGGTCTCAGATCCACCCTAGGAAGATAGTACACACTCAGGAATGGGCATCAGGAAGGTGGGAGGATGTCAGGCAGCCCCCCAGGGAGTTCATGTCTTCACTCCCTCCCTGGTAACACTGCTGGACTCCCACAGGAATGGTAGTGGCAGGAAAGGTTTGCATTTATGAAAACAGCAATGGCAGCTTTTTCTTTCTCTGGAAGAGCCAGCATTTGAAATTAAACATGAGTTGGCAGTCTTTTTAAGAGACACAAATAGTTATAAAGAATAAAATGTAGCTACATTGGACAATGTGGTCACCTAAGGTGTAGGAATTTGACCTTTTCCATTTTCCCCCAAAGAATGATGAAAATGAGTGCAACCTGTGGAAAAATAGAATAATGTTCAGTGGACTAGTGCCATGACCTCGTACACATGGGCAGGTTTTTACTGTGGGAAAGAGCCTCTCCCAGTACATGGCACCTCCCTCTAGCATAGCACCTAACCCTTCTTGCTGTCATTACTTATCTCCATGTCTGTCTCCCCCTAGAGTGTGAGCTCCTCGAGGGCAGGAACCCTGTTTTTATTCATCTTTGTGTCCCGGTGCCAAGCACAGTGCCTGGCTCATGGTAGGTGCTCACTACATGTTTGTTGAATGAATATAGCAGTGCTTCTTGGGTTGATCAGCTAATTTCTTTTTGTTTATTTTTGGGGGGGGTTGTTTGTTTTTGCCCGATGTCGTTAATGCTTTTAGTAGACTGAAGAAAAGGAAGCACTTTGACTCAACATTTTGCATTTACCCTTGACTTTCACAGGAATCATCCTTCAGTCATAGTGCAGCCTGGGAAGAGACCTTTACCTGTGGAATCCCCAGATACCCAAAGGAAGCGGAGGATACACAGATGTGATTATGACGGATGCAACAAAGTGTACACTAAAAGCTCCCACTTGAAGGCACACAGAAGAACACATACAGGTAGGAAAAACACCATCCTCACTTCATCCCTAAGACATATTAGTATGGAAAAATCAATAGTCTAGCTTTCAAGGTTATTAGAGGTTGAACATTCATAACCGGACTTCTAAAATGTTCTGCACTTCTATTTTTATGGCAGTACTGAGGTTTGAATCCAAGACCTGTGCTTGAGAGGCAGGTGCTCTACCACTTGAGCCATGCCCCCAACCCTAAAAAAACAAACCCTGAAACTTCTTGAACACCCACATAACAGTTAGAAAGTTTTAGATTTTGGATTTCCAGATTAGGGAGAGTCAACCAGTAAAATCTGTGCAGATATTCCCAAATCTGACAAACTGAAATCTGAAACACAGTCCCAAGCATTTTGGATAAGGGGTACTCACCTGTGTAATGAAAGTATTTCACACAGCTTGAAAGTTAACAACCATCTGTAGACATCTCTGAGTCATGAAGAATTGTTTTTAATAATGGTTTACTTTCATAATAGTACAAAATAATCCCTCAACCATCCCTCGCATTCCCTTCCAGTTTTGCCCTGTAGTAAGGTAGGGAAGAAGGAATGAAACTAATGTGGCCTTCCATGGCCTCTTTTCACAAGTACATGATAAAATTTATGGTAGCAAAGAACAGTTCTTTTTGCAGAATCAATAAGCACATCGTTTTCATAGAAACGAATTCAAACAGAAGACTGTCCTTGAAGGAAAGAAAAGTGAAGTTATTTAGGTAATGTCTGTGCCATTGCCTGCCATATTTATTCTAGGAACTCTTCCATCTTGGCCAGTATTGAATGTAGAGGGCAAGCAGCCAGATCATATAGACATTGTCACGTAGGTAGGAGGAGGTGCAGTTGCTCTCCGTGCTCCTGAATGTTTCAGTAAAAATGCGTCTTAAGGAAGTCATACAGCAGTGTTTCAAATGGCCTGACTGATCTCAGCAAAGTATTGGTGATTAACATGAACAGTGAGACTTAGGTCACCTCAGACCTGATGAAATTGTAGTTTTACAGTTTTAAGAATGAACCCATGTGTTCATTCTTCTGAACTCAGAATGTCGATTGTTTTTCTGAGTCTTTGAAGTTTCTCAGTAAATCCTGGGGAGAGAGCAGAGGAAGCTGAGATGATAGCCTCATGTTTAGAGGGGCTCACAAACCTTGACAATCACTCAATGTGCATATCCCTGAAGCATGTTGGCACTGAGAGGTGGTGGTGACCAGATTCCAGCCTAAACTTAGCAAGACATTGACTTATTCAGATGACAGTCAGATGCAGGAAAAGTACCTCTTGGTGTATATGGTCTGTGCAACAAAAGAGATTACTCAAATCCTAATACTTCATTGCAACACTAAGGAATGGCAAGGTTTCTGGAGAACAGAGATGCAAAACAGGAATTAACCTGTGACACCCATTCCCCAAGAGCCCCTTATTTAAAATGCTTGGGATTTCAGATTTGTTCTAACTTTGGAATATTTGCATAAACATCTTGGGATAGGACCCAAATCTGAACATGTAATTTATTTGTTTCTTATACGTATAGCCTAATAATAACTTATAATTGTGTACATGAAAGAAAGCATCGTAGTGAAGAACTTTCCACTTGTATTATTTCAGGTTTTGGAACCTCTGGATTTCAGGTTTTCAGGTTAGGGATGCTTAACCGATACTGTTAATTCTGAACATTAAGATCATCACCAACAGCCCTTTTATTTTTGAAGACCTTCATACTGGCTCTCCCAATCATTTTCCCACAAGGGCCTCACCTATAAATTATTCTATGGGAGAGCAGCTTAGAAACCTGGCTTTGGACAGGCAGGGAGGACTTTACTGTAATTTAAAGCATTACGCTGAGACTTAATTGTTCTTGACTAAACAGGAAACTGAATTCCCTAACAGATATTTCAGTTGATAGAGGCTTCATTAATCTTAGAAAACTATTGAAAAGTATGAGCCAAACCCACAAATTTTCAATTTGGACTCACTAATTGCACAGTACTGCATGTAGTTCAGCTCCTGGGTAGTTTAAGACATGGAGACACAAAAGAACACTGCGAGGCCACTCAGAGCAGATTTCTTCACATTTATACTTTAAGAGCTCTTAAGATCCTGCTCCCTTTCTTTTCTTTGTTTTGTTTGGGGCAGAGAATCTGTTTTTTATCTTGCTTGTCCTATAAAGGCTTATAAGGCACTGTATTACTGAGGTATGGACTTATTTTGGAAATAGTATTTTTCAAGAGCATTAGCTTAAAATCTAGTTACTTTTAACAATTAAGTTCTTTTTCTTTTTTTGCAGGAGAAAAACCCTACAAGTGTACCTGGGAAGGGTGCACATGGAAGTTTGCTCGGTCTGATGAACTCACAAGACATTTCCGAAAACACACTGGAATCAAACCTTTCCAGTGTCCAGACTGTGACCGCAGCTTCTCCCGGTCCGACCATCTTGCCCTACATAGGAAACGCCACATGCTAGTCTGAACGCCTCCGTCTCCCACCTCAGTGCGACTCCCCACTCTCCTGGCTCTCTCTCTCCTCCCTCCCGTGATCTAACTCATTTTTTACATGTACATTTTAATTTTGATTCAGCTGGTCTGGATCTCTGAATTTCTACCATATAAAACTTCCATATGGTCAGTAGTAAATGTCCTCTAATCTTCCCTCTCCTTACCACGGGTCAGACCTAAAGAATGTGAACGCTTTTTTTTTTTTCCGGGGATGCTAAGCAAACCCTTCTTACAGATACGTTTAATGTAATGAGAACAAGGGAACATGTAAACTAACATAACCAATTATCCGTTTCTCCGTGTATTCCTCAAAAGAATGTCAAAGTAAATGTATCAGAAATACAGTATACAGCCTGCAGTCCTTGCCAGAGACATTCGTACCTCTGTGCCCCATAAAGGTGTCCTATCAACCGTTAGCAAGACGTGCAACAAGTTGTCAAGCTACCAGTCAACTCTGCCATTGCCCTTCACACATCTTGCTTGTCAACCTGGATCATCACCTCATCTAGATCAAGTTCCTAGCCCTCATTGGTGTCTGGAGCATATATGGAGGGCACTGTCAGCACTGAGAGAGGTGAGCCAGAGCTGCTGGAATAGGAGGATGACGCGTAGCGGTTCACGGGGTGGACACTGCTTCCGTAGCATGGCGCAGAAGCAGAGGGCATTGAGCCCTTCCTCAGTGGGAACAGCTGGTGGGTGATACCTCCTGGCTAGGGGTCATCAGTGGGCATCACCCACTGTGCCATGCATTTGTAGCGTGTCAGTCTCCGTGCGTGCTCAGCTGTGCAGAACATCCAATGCCAGATACGGATGGGAGTGCCTGCAGCCACTCCTACAGTGTCCTGAGTGTGGATCGTCCAGCATTGGCAGTAAGGAATCCACAGAAGTATTTCCCAGTAAGAGTAAAAAAAAAAAAAATGTCTTTGGGTCAGGGTGTGGATGGTCTTTCTTTTACCCAAGCTGCTTATAGCTCTTTTGCAAACAGGGAAACATTGAGTGGTACTTGTTATTCCTATATCAAGTTAATCACATAGCTATTGTGTGTAAGAGCTGTAAGGTGCCAAATTGGCTGTCATTTGTGTGCATGGCACATACATAAAGAAGCATCTGCTAAGCTTTCAGGAAATTCAGTTAAGCCTGAGTTACACTATTTGTAAATATAACTAAAGTGAAGCACATATATCTTTATTTTGGGGACAGATTTTTGAAGAAATAGAAGAAAACCACAGTTCAGGGATTTATATCTGTAGCTTGAAAATTCCCAAAAGTTTACTGCCAGAGCTGGCAAATTTCCTGTCACTATCAAGTGTCCTGTCAGAACAAACTGAAAATAATGACTCGTGTTTATTTTGAAGACTAATTCCATCATTATTGGAGGATGTTTTTCAAAAGCAGGCTTTTGAGCACCATAGTCTAAATGTCAATTAAAATAATTCACACATAGAATGAAAGGAGACAACAGTGATCAAATGTGGCTGCACATAACCAAAGGCTCCTTCGTCCCTCACGAAGGATTGAGGAGGAGAGAGAAGGGGATCCTGAAGGTTGCTCATCCCAGCCATAACTCTGGATCCAACACAGCCTGAACTGGGGGAATACTGGCTTTTAAATCATTGGTGGCTGAGAATTGTGGGGGGCTTGTTTTGAGGGCACTATGTTAAGAGGTAATGTTGGGACTGCACAGGTACCTGAGGGGTCCCACTCAGCCCTGTGAACCAGCTGAAAGAAGTCTAGGTAAAAAAAATGCAAAGAAATATTATCTTGGCACTTGGGTTTCTTTTCTTACCTTTTTTAGCACTGCAGTTTTTGTTTAGAATATTAAAACATGCTAAATGGGCTGTTTTCCTTTTTGCTACTCTGACATGAATTGAATAGAAATGGCTCTTGAAAAAGCGTGTGTCATCTATATTGTCAATGTTTACTCACATTTGTACGGCGTGCTCATATCCTGAAATGGTTCTTCCACGACACTGAAGAGTCACGTTGGAGTGCAAGGCATTTTTTGTTTTGTTTTAGTGGAGATAACCAGTTTGTGTTCAACCCACATAGAAGGGTAAAGGGAGCAAGAAAAATAGAATTGATCTTTGAGTCAGCTTTGCATCTGAGTGTACTTAGTAGAAAGCGTCGTGGGCTCTCATGAAATTCACTCTGGCATATTTAAGTTTTGTTCAGAAGATTGTATTCCATCACTATTCATCTTGCTCAGATCATTAATAAGATCCATTGCAACTGAAAGAACAACCCAGAGGCCATTCTCTGTTCCCATGCTGGTCTGATATTGTTTAGTTACTAATTGGCCCTTATCAAATTTTCCTTTTATATATAAATATATATATACATATTTGTATTTTACTATGCTAGTGGAGACATTCAGTCTTAGTCATGTTTAGCTGTTATTGTGGAAGGCCTCAGATACACAATACGATGCCCTTAAAAACACGGTTTTAATGTGTGCCGTGTTAGTATCGATGGTGGTTTAATTACAGTATTTTAAATTGACAAGAATGGTTTGTAAACACAAAGTTGGTGTCACGTGAATTGTGTCTTATAGAGTTGTTCAGTTACTGCTCAAGCGTCATCTTGGGGAAGTCATAAGAATTAAATCTGAATCCATTAGTTTGGAAATGTGGATCCACCTCACAAACAGGCACTAACCTTCTAAATTGCTTGGTTTGGAGAATGTGTTTGCAGCATAGCTACGTTCAAATAAGGATATGCGATGGGCGCAGAAGTTTCACGAGCCTTGGGACAGAAACACAGGGGAACTATGTATGTACAGTATGTTTTGTTAAACACCCATCTGCACTGTCAGTATTGCACTAACGTGGAACTTGAGAGGTTATTATGCTGATGCTGTGTATGTACACATCATTTCTGATTCGATTATTCCAGAGACAATCTCAAAGATCTAAGGTTTGAAGATATACAGTTGTCTTGAAGGAATTGCTGTCGTACATGAAGTCACTCAGTTGTCTTTCTTCTCTTCTTGGTCAAGGTTAACGATTTCTAAATGATTGCAAATTCACTTAAGTAATACATTTACAAAGCCATCTTACATGCATTAAGCGAGGGCTACAACATGTTTTACAAATACTAGCACTTTTTTTTTCCTTGTTATGTACTTAGTGTTAGAGGGTCAAAATAATCTTTCTGCTTAGCATCTCTTAAAACCATACCTGCAGGTAGAGCAGGATTATTACATTTACAGTACTTTAATACTTGTATAAACTATGCAGAAATTTTTAATAAAGTGTAATATATTTTATAAGCTAATAAGACTGAATGGGTAAAGGTTTTTAGCATGCATTAGTATACTTGCAAATGCTGATACATTTTGGTAATCTTTCTTACTAAAGATGTGAATGTTTAACGTACCTTCTCTGTTTCTACTCTGTAGTCCAATGGGAATTCAGTAATGACATTTTGTCATGTCCAACTGTGAACATAAATTTGTACTGTACAGTCCTCATATACTATATACAGTATGCAATATATGTATTATATACTTGTTAATAAAACCATCGGAATATTAGGTGTGATCAGTGATTTCTATATAGGCAATGATCACTAGGAGCAAAACCTCAAGAGCCTGCTTACACATTTCAAAGTAAGTCAGTCTGATAGGCAGTCACTCAATGAAGAGAAAGCAAAATAGATCTAACTGGAAGGTGCACTGGAGGAGTTAACTCAGCCGGAAGGCCAGGACACTGGGTTTCTGCTAACCTCCAGTGGGAAGTCATCTAAGCTGAAGCCAGCCCCATCCCCCCTGAGCCTTCAAACGCTTTCTACATTCAGAGACTTTGAATTTTGCTTTGCACAAACCATTCAGGTAGTTAGTCACCAAATTCCTCTTCATTCTCCAAAACCCTGCCCCCAAATCACTTCATTTTGGGACTTTCTCAACTCACCCTCTGCAGAGATCTCTCTTCATCATTCCATCTGTGATCCCACAACCCTCGTGTTTCCCTCAGTTGTTAGAACTTATCACCAGCATTGTCAGTTTGTCCATCGTGCCTTTCCCTCACTAGATCTCAGATGTCTCTAACATGATTCTAATCTAGGAATCCCAGGGCCAGGCACAAAGTACCTGGGTGTGTGATGGCAAGTGTGCGGTGGGTGTGTGTTGAATGAGCACACAGACAAAAAGAATGCATGTTAGCTGTGCACTTACGATAGCCCCTGCACTGTTCTATGCACTTTGCAGGTATTAACCAGCTTAATTTTCAAAACCCTAATTCATGCAACTATGAATCATTCTCCTCTTACCGATGGAAAATTGAGGCACTGATGGGTTGAGTAATTTACCCAAGGTAAGAAGAGGAAGAACCAGTTTCAAATTCAGACCATTAGACCTCACAGCCCGCTCTCACAACTATTGCATGGGTATTGGGAAAGCCTCCAGGCTATGTGGCTTTTTCTCAAAGTTTAACCCAGATATGCTGGGCATAGTGGCTCATGCCTTTAATCCCAGCTACTTAGGAGGCAAAAGTAGGAGGGTGGAGACTTCAGACCCTGGCAAAGTTAGAATGAAACCCTATCTGAAAAACAAGCTAAAAGCAAAAGGACTGGGAACATGATTGCAATGTTTGCCTAGCAAGTGAGACCTGGAGTTCAATCCCCAGTAATACACACACACACACAAAGTCAACTGGTGTGCTTGGCTGTACCCATAATTGAGGCATCTTGTGGGATGTCCTCCCCATCATCCCAGACCCTACTTGTCCATCCCTTAACTACAAAAATACTAATAATTTGTCAATACTTGCATGACCGGGAATGGGGCAATTTGCTAGATTCCATAAGCAAAAGGCTTCATCTACTTTTTGAAATATCAGGTATATTGTATAATTTACATAAAGTAAAAATCATTCTTTTTAGCATACATTCCAGTGAGTTTCAACCTAGTCATGAAACCACCAAAAGAAGTCATAGAACAATTCATGCTTCTTTGTAGTCAACCCCATCTCCAGGCATAGCTCATCTCCCTATTCCTGTGCCTGTATGTACATCTGTAGCCACCTTTTCTTTTTTTCCACTGGGACTGGGGTTTGAATTTAAGTCTTCACACTAGTAAAGCAGGCGCTCTACCGCTTGAGCCACTCCTTGAGTCCATTTTGCTCTGATTATTTTGGAGATGGAGTCTTGAGAACTATGTGCCCAGGCTGGCCTCGAACCACAAACCTCCCCATCTCAGCCTCCCAAGTAACTAGGATTAAAGGTGTGAGCTGCTGGCGCCCAGTGCTGTTCTATTGCTTAATATTACACACTTGAGATGTAACCATGTGGTGACATAAATCAGTTGCTTGTTCCTCTGAATTAGTGAATATAGATGTACATGTGCAGCCTTCTGTAGTTGAAGGATATTTAGTTTCCAATTCGAGGCAATTATGATAAAACCATGATAAATTGTCACATTCAGAGTGTGTATTAACCTCTTTCATTCATTTTTTACTTTTGTGTTCATTACTCATGGATAAATTCTTACGAGTGGGATTGTGACATTGGATAGCAGGTGGACTTGGCTCTTTAACAAATTGCCAGGCGTTTCCAGAGCAATCACTCCATTTGCGCTGCCACCAGCAGTGCCTGAGGGCACCTGGACATCCACGGCCTTCCCTGCACTGGGTGCTGTCCAGTGTCTCGTTTTATCCACTGCGGGACGCGGGGTCTCACTGTGGTTCTGATTTGTACTTCCCCGTGATTTACAGCGAGCACCTCGGTGTGAGTATTTGCCATCCATGGATCTTTCGTGGAATGTCTGTTCAGATCTCATGCCCACATTGCATCCGGGTATTTTCTTACCATTGAGTTTTGAGAAGTCTCTGTATTCTGGCTGTGAGTTCCGTTTTGCTACTATTTCTTCCTGTCTGTGGTTTATCTTATCAATTCTCTTAACAGTGTCTTTTGAAGAGGGGAGGTTTTTAATTTGAATGAAATTTATCAGTTACTAATTTCACGGGTTGTACTTTTTGTTTTTTATCTAAGAAATCTTTGACTAACCCAAGGTACCAAGACATGACATGCTCTTTTCTGTCCTTCTGGAGGTATTGTTTGCAGAACAAAAGTCTGTCTTCCCAATTTCTCTTCCAATGGCCAAATATGTTTTGTTAATTAATTTTCTGAAGTGTCTTATTAATGTCAGCCTTTTATTATTTTCTTCCTTGCTTGCATTTGCAAATCCAAATCATTTTTTTAATTTCTCAAGACAATTGCCTAACTTGTTTGTTTTCCAACTCCTTTATTTTTTTCTTAAAATGTATTTAAAGTTATGAATTCATTTCTAAATTCGGCTTGAATTTGGGCCCTTAAGTTTGGCATACGGTCAGAGTAGCCACATAGAGTAACACATTTTGCTCACTGATTGAGCCAGGACAAGGGGGCAGGTTGGAGTCTCTGCAGGAGGAAGAAATGCTGTTCTTTTTTTTTTTTTTTTTTTTTTTTTGTGGTACTGGGCTTTGAACTCAGGGCCTCATGCTTGCTAGGCAGGCATTCTACCATTTGAGCCACTCTGCTAGCCCAGAAATGCTGTTCTTTTGCACACTCCTTTCAGGCTCTCAGACTGCCGTCAGCCCGAGCAGGTGCCCCTTTCTGATTCAAAGATGCAATATAGGATAGTAACATTCCTGAGGTGGGTTGCTGCTGGGCTCCAAGTATTTTATTTGTGCTATGTTTTGTTTTGTTTCTTAAACTTAAATACTACTCAGTAGCATCTTCTTCAGTTCCCATACAGTTGGGGTTTTGGTTCAGTAATCTACTGGAGTAGGTAGGAGCTGATGAATCCATGGAACCTGATAGACAAGACAGGAATATGCCTGGACTATATGTGCTCTTGATAGGCAAGAACAGGTAGTGCCAGCATTATGGAGAAAAGATAAGCTACCTAGGAAATAACGTGCAAAGTGGATTGCTATCTGGAGAAAAAGTTGGATCCTCTATCTTATTCTCATATAAAAAGACAGATGTCCGATGTAAATGAAAACACAAAAACCTAACAGAAAATATAGGAGTACCTCATTGAATTCTGGGTAAGAAAAGATTTCTTCTACAAGGCTGAAAATGTATAAAACCCATGCGAACTTTTGATGGATTTCACTGTATGAAAATTAATTTCTTTTGGCTAGAGGTGTGGCTCAAGTGGTAGAGTGCCTGCTTTGCAAGTGTGAGGCCCTAAGTTCAAACCCCAATCTCACCAAAAATAAATAAATAATAAAATTAATTTCTTTCAGCAAAGTTAGCAATAGCTAACAGAATAGGAGAGGTTATTTTAATGTCTATCCAAGGACTGTACAAAGAACACATATAAATCCCTATCAATAGAGCTCATGGTGGTACATGCCTGTCATGACATCTACTTGGGAGGCAGAGGCAGGCGGATCTCCAGTTTAAGACCAGCCCAGGCAAAGTTAATCAGACCCTATCTCAAAAACACAATACAAAACAAAGTCTGGGGCGGGGGGGGGGGGGGGGGGGGGGTGGGGGGTGGAGTGTAGCTCAAGGGTAGAATGCTCACCTAACAAACCCAAGGTCCTGAGTTCAAACCCCAGTACTGAAAAAAATTTAAAAGCCCAAAAATAGGGCTAAGCAAGAAAAGTAGGAAACAATAATAATCATGTGTCATTCTGATAGCTACATGTGTCCATACAAAACTAAACTGCATGTTCTATAAGAAAAAGTGCATATTTAAAGTCATGACTTAAACACTACAGTGGTAATCATGGTAGTAGAAGGACATACCTCAACTCAGGTCATCATTAGTCCATCCCTGGATAACTCAGTCCCACCCAGCAAAAAAACTAGGCTAGAACCCGGTGTCGGCTGCTCACACCTGTAATCCTAACTACTTGAGAGGCTAAGATCAAGAAGATCGAGGTTCAAAGCCAGCCGGGGCAAATAACTATTGAGAACACACTTCCAAAATAATCAGAGTAAAATGGGCTGGAGGTATGGCTCCAGCAGTAGAGCAATTGCTTTGCAAGCATGAAGCCCTGAGTTCAAACCCCAGTCCCACCAAAAAAAAAAAAAAAAACCTTCTAGCTACAGACCTCTGTGAGTATCTAGCAAGTCCTGCCACACGTTAGCTACTTCCTCCACCACTACCTTGAAAATCTCTGTAACATTGTGCAGCTCAGCCTAGATCTGTTGATTTCCTTTTCAATAAGCAAACGCTTTCAACCTTACTCACCAGGACTTCCTTTTCATTAACAATAAAATGGCTGAGCAAAAGGCTGAACGGACTATTTGAAATGAGAAAGGAGTCATGTGACTAATTGCTTTAGAGGCCTCTCTTCCCTAGTAAAGAATGGAGCAAACAATTGATTGGGTTTGAGCTTTTTAATTAGCCCAAATTTAATATGCTTACCAGTCTTTTGCCTGCCAGGCATTGCAAAAATCGCTGCTGCTGATTTTGTAAGAATTTAATACGTGGGAAGACTCAAACTGGCTGGGATTAAGTAGGAGATTATCTTGCTAAGTGAGAATGACAGAAAAATCAGGGAGAAATACAACCTTATTGGAAGGGGCGGAGGAAAGAAGAGATAGTCTGCCTGGGAAGGGCACAGCTTCCCTGGAAGTCTCAGGTAGCCTGGTGCTGGTAGCTCACACCTGTAATCCTAGCTACTCAGGAGGCAGAGATCAGGAGGATCACAGTTCAAAGCCAGCAAATGGTTCACAAGATCCTATCTTGAAAAAACCCTTTCACAAAAAAGGGCTGGTGAAGTGGCTCAAGATGTAGGCCCTGAGTTCAAGCTCCAGTACTGCAAAAAAAAAAAGAAAAAGAAACTCCAGGTAAT